CCCCCTCCTAAAACCATACTTAACACCTTTGGGTAACATCTCAGGTTGTAGATCTTTTTGGTTTTTGAGAACGTCCCCCGCCTAAAACCATGCTTAACACCTTTGAGTAACATCTCAGGTTATAGACCTATCTAGATTTTTGAGAACTTCCCCCTCCTAAAACCATACTTAACACCTCTGGGTAACATATCAGGTTATAGACCTATCTAGGTTTTGAGAACTTTCCTCGTCTAAAACCATACTTAACACCTTTGGGTAACATCTCAGGTTGTAGATCTATCTAGGTTTTTGAGAACTTTCCTCGTCTAAAACCATACTTAACACCTTTGGGTAACATATCAGGGTTAATAGACCTATCTAGGTTTTGAGAACATTCCTCGTCTAAAACCATACTTAACACCTTTGGGTAACATATCAGGTTATAGACCTATCTAGGTTTTGAGAACTTTCCTCGTCTAAAACCATACTTAACACCTTTGGGTAACATATCAGGTTATAGACCTATCTAGGTTTTTGAGAACTTTCCTCGTCTAAAACCATACTTAACACCTTTGGGTAACATATCAGGTTATAGACCTATCTAGGTTTTTGAGAACTTTTCTCGTCTAAAACCAACTCTTGCATATAATAATATTTTTGGTATTCTGAATACAATGGGCCACTTGGACTTTCAATATTTTCAAGATTATAATTCTTGACAGATGAATTAACTATTACCTACCTCAGATTAATACAAATATTTTATAACCTATAGATAAAGCTCCTAAACTATAAAACCTTATCAAGAATGTTGTGCTTTTTAAAACCTTAATAAGCACCAATATTTGCCATTTTTAAAGTACATGTGCATATTAAAAATTACTGTAAATCTTTAGCATAAGTATAAATTAATTTAAAAAATCAACATATTTAGCTTTCAAATGTTTTAATAGGGTCCACAAGTATACGTAAAAAATACAAAAACGATTCCCTGAATAGCAGTATGACTTTGTGTTGTAAACCAAAAATGCTTACTTGCTACACGACACTTTTACTCAAATTTATGAAATTAATTTTTTAATAGCCACGCATTCATCATTTATCTAGAGGGAAATTATGATTTTTGTTGACATATTTCAAATTGGATTTCTAATAATAGTTCTTTTAATCATGAATTTTCTTTAAAAGCTGCTACAGAAAGTAATTATGGGTGTGTTCAATCAGTCTCACAAATAAGACCTGACATTGTTCAAATATATTAGGTTTGTTAACATTGAAAATATTCCTATTATAATTTTATCGCACAATTGAACTTGGTCATTTATTACTAATATATATTTTTTTCAATTTTGATAAAAATGCAAAATATTGAAGGAATCCTTTTTATTTGTTGTTGTTGTTGTTATTGCATAAATTACAACCCGATTGTCAATAATCAAATAATATTCTATTTCACGTGCTTTAATTCTGGAATTGTTATACACATCGAATCCTTTCCTCGCTAGTCTTTTTCTAACATTTTAGAATTACAGTGTAAGTAATATGAAATCATTAACTTTCAACTTTTTGAAACTTAAATGTGAATTTTTAATTTAAGTTACAAATTTTGTTTTGTTTGCACAAACTTGTAAGTTAGTAGGGAAGTTAGAAAATATTGAAACATATCATTTCCCGTCCTGTGGTTCAGCAATAAGTCTGAGGGCTTATAATGCTAAAGTTCAGGTTTCGATACCTGATGTGAGCAAAGCACAGTTATCCCCTTGTGTATTTTTGCCCTTAACAACAAAAAACACAAAGAGAAATTTAAAATTATTATTTGTGTATATCATTTCCCATATAAATTGAGCATTCTTGCACATTTTTAAATGATGGATTTCACTGACAACCTTGACTAATGATATTTTGTACTAGCGTTTTTATTACGATACAAACAGGGACAATTTTATATGCACATAGTTATTCGCTGTTTAATGTAGAAGTAATTTTGACTAATTAGCGTTCCAAGTATTCGATTCTTCCCGTTGCTTTCTCCAATCTTGTCATTTCTGATTTTACAGTAATTATTCATTAAAATGTTCGATACACTTTTAAGGGATCTTTCATTGCCAAATATTGTTCTTTGATCTTTGCATTTTAAAACGTTTCTTAGAAAAGTGTCATTAATCAATGTTTAAAATATTTGAAAACACTTAAAAAAATACCTAGTCCATTGTGGGCCACTCTTATCAATAACTTGTAAATATATAAAGATATCATCATCCAGTACATGGTTGAGTACTGTATTAAAACTATTTTGGAGCCTCATAATGCTGTTACAATTCATGTCGCAACGTCGGCATACTCTATCTGACGACCTTGCATCTTGACAATAGCCCTACAGCGTAGTTTCCATTACAAAAAGGCTCCGTTGTATGGCTGTTATGTATACAAAGCATACCACTCATTCCTGCGAGATTTCCATACGAGAATGTCGCCTGCTTCAACGTTCCGATTGCACAGAAATTAATACATGATATGTCCAGCGACCTGATAGCTATATCTTTGTATTTTATACCATGAATACTCGTTTCACTCCCCAGCTGCTTGAGGAATGTGACGGTTGAATGGGTGTGTAGTGGAAGCAATTTGTGTACGCATGACTTGTGTCGCTTTTTTCCAGACGAATATCTTTCTTGATTACGTTTCGTACTGTTGCTCGGAGCTTGTAGATGAGGTTTTGCCACTGAACTTTGCGTTTGTAGATTCTCATCTGTTACAAGACGCCAAACTTTGTGTACCACAGCTGTAAAACGACTTCTTGCAGGTCTTTTTTCTGGATTGTCCTTGTTCCAAAGCTGATCCGTATTCCTTTGTTTTCCGATGACATTAAGTGCTATGATATCCCCGTCTTGAAAATTTTCAGATTTCCTATCTGAACACGTCTTTATGATCTGAGTGTATTAATATTTTACGTCCGAAAGAACTGTTACATATTATTCTCAAAGGCGATCAATTTTGTGTTGTGGTTGTAATGTGTGTTACTTAATTTCATATTCAGAATCGTCTTAATACAAAGCACTGAACCCTTTGTATAGTGAAGATAGCTTTTGGAATGTTTATGCCTCTCAGTGGCACAGGGGTATGTCTGCGTACTTAGAACGCTAGAAACTGGGTTTCAATGCCCTGGTTGGGCAGAGCACAGATAGCCCATTGTGTAGCTTTGTGCTTAACTACAAAGAAACAGAAGTTTATATTAAACAGATTTATTATAATAAATATTTACAGCAATTGATAAAAACGTATTTGATTCCTACGCCAGTTAGCACAATAGAATATATATATATATATGTTTTTAAATTTCACTTTAATAACTATGAATGTTCCTTCCTACACACTAATGCATCTTTAAATGAGTGGAAATAACAGTGATTAAATTATGACTAAAGCCAACACGAAACTATATCTCCTTAATAAAAGAATAATTATTAGTGTAAAGAAAAACAACTCATAGATAAGGATATTAATATCAACATTAAGAAAAGAAGTTTTGCAGAAGCAGTCATTCCTAGACCAGTCAATGTTCTAACCCAAATACTTAAAATGTTGATAATTTGTTAATGGGTCTGTTAACGTAAAGTTATTTTCTAATTAAAGACTGAGATTGGTGACTTTTAAGGATCTGGAATGCTTTCATCAAGGATATTTTACCTGTTAAATTGTATAAATATAAGCAGAGGGATTGTAACCAATATTCATTATCTTACATACTTTTAGAATGACATTTACAGTACAACCCAGCTTATTAGTCTTAACCTGGTACGTTAACTTTCAAATCACGGCTCTGTGACTTTTACAGTTTCAGTTTATTTTGTTTTTTGAATTTCGTGCAAAGCTACACGAGGGCTATCTGCGCTAGCCGTCCCTAATTTAGCAGTGTAAGACTAGAGGGAAGGCATCTAGTCATCACCACCCACCGCCAACTCTTGGGCTACTCTTTTACCAACGAATAGTCGGATTGACCGTCACATTATAACGCCCCCACGGCTGAAAGGGCGAGCATGTTTGGTGTGACAGGGATTCGAACCCGCGACCCTCAGATTGCGAGTTCTGTGAACAAGAAGCATTTCAATACATTGTTACATAAATAAGAAACAATTTTTGGTTAAACACGAAATATCACATCACAATGAGGCTGAAAACTACGCATCCGTTTTTTTTACTTCCACCACTAAGGGTTGTTTTTATAACATGGAAAATGCAATTACCTTTCAACTACAATTAACTGTTTGATATCGTTGTTAACGAAACCTTTCATTCTGTACCATATTTTTCTCTGTTAATTAGGCCACTTTCCAGGAGAAAGATCATAACGATACAAATATGCAGACATGAGTCTATCAGATTGGCTGGATGGTAATATATATAGATATTTATGTTTTAGTTTAAATGTTATTTACATCAGTCGTTCATGAGATAAAAAGTCTTAAGCAGTAGAATACCTTAACTTGTGGAGCATGACTTTTAGTAGTAACATGTACGTGATATAACATCACAGAAAGTCTGATAACAACTTAGATCACATCATTCTTTATTGGACAGTACGAGCTATCAATAAGAAGTGTATACAATAGAAGTTCAAGTATACACTGTTTTTATTAGCCTCTGCCGACAAGGCTATTTCTCAATATCAAAGCTCATCAGGGCAGTGGGATTACAACCCAAGAAGTCTTAGTTTTAGATTGGTTATTTTGATATAACTGCGTTGACGTTTTGTATCGATATCTAATATATATTCGTTCTGTTGTTTTATCGCGCATGTTAAGTTGTTCCTTTTAAATAGAACTATATAAACTGAAGGTAGAATTGTTTCTTTACTAACAAAGCAACTTTTTGTAAAAATGACACTTGAGGACATTAATAAATCTATATACTAACAAAGCAACTTTATGTAAAAATGACACTTGAGGACATTAATAAATCTATATACTAACAAAGCAACTTTATGTAAAAATGACACTTCAGAACATTTCTCTTTTTACCAGCTTGAAAGCATATTTGGAGTATCCTGGAGCGGCCATGTTTTAGTAGTATTATACACAGAGGAGATGAAAACAGCACCTGATGACATTAGGGAACGTATTAGTTCTTCTTTACAAAATAGAACAGATAATGAAAAACAAGGTAAGTCTGATAGATAGCATACAGTAAAAGAAATGTTATGTTTTCTTGTCCAATTATAAGTTGGTTATACAACTTTCAAACTCCTAGTGGACATTTGTAAACCTACACTCTACCTTTACTTCTCACACTTTATCGACATTTTATACATGATAGTGTTAGTTCTACAGGCGTTAAAAACAATGTAGAAAACTAAGGAAGAATATGAGAACACTAGACAATTTAATCAGAAGCTATTAAATGCATATGACGTAATAATTAGACAGGTCTGTTTGTTTGCTTGTTGTTAAGTGCAAAGTCATATATTGGGATATCTGTACAATTTAATCAGAAGCTATTAAATGCATATGACGTAATAATTAGACAGGTCTGTTCGTTTGCTTGTTGTTAAGTGCAAAGTCATATATTGGGATATCTGTACAATTTAATCAGAAGCTATTAAATGCATATGACGTAATAATTAGACAGGTCTGTTTGTTTGCTTGTTGTTAAGTGCAAAGTCAT